TCTAAAATGATTCTTCTGTCATAACCAAGGCTGTGCTAGTAGAGAAGACGATGTTAACCGATAGTTAAACAGCTACTTAGTCATTATTTTAGACTCCTGTTAAAAGTAATGCAGACTTTCTAAAAGCTTTCCAACAGTTTACAGTAATTTAAAGCTTGAACATTTCATTAATCTTTGCTTTTTAATGGTTAATGTGCAGAGACTACTAAGCAGAATTGGTTTAACCGATGGTGTAAGTTTGGGGCGAAACTGTTTGTTTGTCCAACCAATGAAACAGAGTTTTTGAGCAAAGTTCTATTTTTATTTTTTTTTATTTCCAATTGCCACAACACTCTTAAAAATGAAGGTTTCAAAGCTGGTTTTCACAGTGATGACATAAGAAGAACCATTTTTGGGTTCCCCGGTGAACCTTTCAGTGAGCAGTTCTAAAAAAAAAAAATCAGTGTAAAGAACATTTTATTAATCTGAAGAACCCTTTTTCCACTATAAAGAACCTTTTGTGGAGTGGAAAGACTCCATGGATGTTAAATGCTCTTTATGGAACCATAAATGCCAATAAAGAACCTTTATTTTTAAGAGTGTAGGGGCCAGGAAATGACACACTTCAGCTTTAATCTGGTTAACACTAATATAATACAGGCTATGGCAATAATATCAAGTAACAAAAGATTTTTAAAAAGCATTATCGGGATGCGTCGAGTTGCTCTCAAGGGTGAACTTGATCTTCGGCCTCCATCAGACCTTTTCAGTTCCAAACAAGTGGAGACTTATATAAACATGGCCTGATTCCTAGGAAAAAATACTCATCCTCATGCAGACTCACTTTGCAATAGATAAAAATCAGTTGACGTAAATTGCGGTATGCAACAGATTTTACTTCCATAATTATAACGTATTTCAGAAACAGGGTATTTAACAGGAAAAAAAAATGTTGGGGTGAATGAAAACACAATTAAACCCATCCATTAAAAACATTATTCATTTTATTGATTGGATCATTATCCAATAGCCTATGTGTGGTCAGCGAAAAAGGAAAATGACTTCAGAGTAAATGATTTTGATTGAAGATTATGGAGATATATTTTTCGTTGGAATAACATGCACCAATGAATCTCTCACAATAAAAAGCAGGAAGATGAATTTGAAAGTAAATAGGCTCAGGTTCCTGGGCGATCATAAGTTCCCTCACATAATAGGCTGTGAAAAGCTTTTCATAATAGGAAAATTTTCACAAGGAAACATCCAAAATGCAAACCAACTCAACACAGAATACATAACAGTATGAAGAGCGTTTGGAGATCATATTTATGTGGTTCAAACCGATTTAATTTTACCACATCATTCACAACATGGAGCACAGAAGTCCTCTCAGGTAAGTTAGCGGTTAGAGGTTTGCTGTAACGCTACATGAGCACTCTCATCTCCGTCTCTTTGACTTTGAGAATGGTTAATGATGTGAGCCGAAGCTGAAACAAGACCATGAGGGTAAAGTTACTCTCTCCGGCACACTAACAGACAACAAAGCAGGTCTGCAGTTTGAAGCATGCAGTACATCTTGCAAATTCTGTACGAAACAAAGACGTATTTAGACACTGCATACTACAAAAAGACATCAACGGCAGCCTAAAAAAGTATTTAGATAAACCTAATAATACAATTATGTCCAAATACTTTCTACTAAAAAAAAAAAGCCTTGCATTTGAAGCCAACAAGCTAAATGAGCCCACAAACCATTCTTAGTTTCACCAAAAAAAGCACTTTGAACACACACACACTTTTCAAGAAACACATATAACTTCCCGATAAACTTGACATCTTTCAGACAGTTTCTGTAGCAATGAGAACCTGCAATTATCTAAATCCCTCATTCCAGCATGAAATGACTTGTAATTTGGTCTAATGGTTTACAGTGACAGAGGAAGATGATCTACGGCAGCTGAGAGGTGAGCAGCATTCATATAGCCTGATGGCAGGTGACGATTACATTCACTGCGGTCACGATGAGAACGTGGACTGTAAACGTGAAGCGTTTCTATAGAGGATCATTTGGAAAACTGCACTTCTGTATTCAGTACGTGTTATCCAAGAATGTGGACCTTCTGGTCAGGCAAGAGCTTTCACCTACGCGGTGTTGACAGTGACTGTCCTCAGCTACTTGTCAACCTACACTGTAAAAAAATATTTTTTTGCTCGCACTTTAGTTTGAGGGCCATTTCTCACTATTAACTATTAACTACTATCGCCTCAAACTCTTACTTTTATTAATAGTTAGTAAGGTAATTGTTAAGTTTAGGTATGGGGTAAGACTAAGTAAGGGATCTAAAATATGGTCATGCAGAATAAAGCATTAATATGTGCTTTAAAAGTACTAATAAACAGCCAATATGCTAGTAGTATGCATGCTGATAAGCAACTAGTTATTAGTGAGAACTCGTCTCTAAACTAAAGTGTTACCGAAGTTGTAAATAAAACAAAGATTATTAGAGTACACTTTACAAGAAAATAGGAGTTTTAAAAGAAATAGTTTTATTATTTAAAAAAAATAACAGTTTTTCTATTTTAGTAGAAAATAATACTTTTCAATTTTTTCAGTTTACAAGAAAACATTAAGTACTTAATATAAAATAGTAAATATATTAATTAGTAACGTATACTGTTATACATGTTAAAATACTGTTGATATACTGTTAAAAATGATAGTAAAGCAGCTCTTTAGAAAAAATCAGTTACTTAAGAAATTCAAGTGCTAACAAAAAAAGCAGCAAATCACATTAAATCTACCTATTCTGCCATAAAAAATAATAATAAGGGTGTCAGTTATGGTGATAGCATCTAATTTAAAAATAAATTCACACTAAATGCAAGTAATAAAACATTTATAAACACTACTTAACTAAACATCGATTTTGCAACAAAAAGCAGCAGTAAAATTAAGTTTGGAAACACTATTTAGTAATGGCATTGAAATTATACTTCACTAAAGAAAAATGTCCAAACCAAACAATTTACTGAAATGAATCAGGCCTCCATTTTTTTCCGTCACGTTACTTGCCATGATTGAAAAGTAAGTAATGTTACTATTTTTAATCAGTATCTCCCCCAAAACTGATTTAGCCTATGATTTTCAAAACATTTAACATTTTTAAAATGTTTGCTACTACGCTTACAAAATCTGGTTTGCAAAACAGAAACAGAAACTTTATTGGTTTATGGTATATTTGGTAACACTGTTGGAAATGTTATGCAAGTCAGATGTAAAACATGACATGTAAAGATGTGCAATTGTAAAAGTATGTTACACATCTAGAACTCCCAAAATAGTTATGCTAATAGATCACATTTTATAATTTTTGATTTTCATATCTACATACAAAAGCAAACAACAAAGAGCAAGTCACTGGAAGGCAAAAAAAGCACTACCAAGACAAAAAGGTGAGCAAAAATAATAAATGTTTAGAATTAATAACTATTGTAGGCACTAACTGGGTTACTAGTAAAGCACTAGTATGTTCAAGACCTTTCAAGTAGGTTTTCAGCAGGCGGATCGGCAGTTATTGGCTTGTGTAACAAACGTTAGCAATTTACCAAAAAGCTGTAATTATGTTCAAACATAATTAAAGGATATCTAAAGGATCTCCTATCTAGCAGATATTTATGTTGATGTGGATATGAAAGATAAAACCTGATCAGTACTTTTACTTTATTGTACCTTTACACCAGATCTCCATTTTCTCAGCAACTGTAGAAAGGTGTTTGGTGACCGAAGTCGATTCCGGATCAGTCCTACAAGGAAACTTCAACATCTGAAGAGTGCATCTTCTGTTTAACCTCACCTATTCACAGTATCTTCTACTTTGTCAGATAAAAAAGCTTCTAGATTAAGAATGCAGTAGAGATCATCTATAGATTTGTAGTCAAGTCAAACATGCATATAAAGAGACAACAAATCCATCAAATGCTAATCAGCATTCAATGTAGGCTGTCGTAAACACTTCTACACACAAATTCGCTTCATTAGCACTGGTAAATAACAAAAGATGGAAAAGCTTACCTGTTTAATAAAAATAATAATAATGTATTCCTTGCAATTAGCTTCTATTGCATCACAGTCCATCATGAGATGAGTTAATACAGTACTTTTTAGTTAAGCAGCTAATTGCAGCGTTACCCAAAGTGCATTTTAGAGTCTCTAAATGCATATCTTCAGTGACACGAGAATCACATTTTAGTACAAACACATGAGAACATTTGGAAGACTACATGTGTAACCTCCTCAATCATGCTATCCAAGGATAATACTCAGTGGCAGACAGAGTGGCTACGCTTAAATCAACACCATCTGCTTTGCCAGCTAAAGTGGCGGATAGAAAAAAAACAACAAAAGTACAAAAATGCCCCATGAAGGAATGGTTTGTATATACACTAGGCTTTACACACTACTAAAAGTACTATGTACTGGTACAAAGTACTAACGCTGCCTTCAAATCATGTAAGAATGATCATATTTACAACATGAGCCACAACAATGTCGTAATCACCAGTGGGGAAACATGGGATTTTCTATAAGCAGACTTTCTGAATTTAGGGCCATGTAAATAATAAAAAAAAAAAACATGCAAAAAAACAAACAAGTAAACAAATTAAAATTGTATATACTGTATGTATATATATATATATATATATAAAATGTATTTATTTATTATTATTTTTTTCCCCTTTATGTTTGTACTTTGTCTTGGTTTTGGAAAATGTTGTTTGGAAAAATGAGAAGCTATGATGATTTTGAAAATATTTTATGTACTATGTGTTATGTGACCTGTCCAAAACAAATAATAATATAAAAAATGTAAGTTAAAAAATCCAATAAATTTATTTGGTTTATAACACAGCAGACCTGCGAGACCAAACTACCTTTCTCATTTTCTGTGGCAAAAAGAAAATACTGATAATTAACATTAACACAAATTGTATAGAAAAATATTTTATACAGGTAGGTTTATTATGAAATTTATATATATATATATATATAAATATATAATTTAATACATGTTTTAAATGTAAACAAGTAATTCATTTACTCTTCATGCTGTTGCATGAAGTTTGAAAAAACCTATTCACTATATCTCGAACACATCATGTCGTAATTATGATTTCCTAAACTTCCTGAAGGCAGCATTAGTACTAAGCATTTAGTTTTCATAAAAAATATAAATGCACAAAAAAACACTCCTCGCCTGTCAATCCTGGTTGATTTTTTCTCTGGTGTATAAAAAGAGCAACAATCTCTCTCCAAGAAGACTATCGTCCCTTTGCACAGTCACAATAACAGGAATGTACAAGAATTGACCAGAAAGAATGCTCAGTACGGCCCAGCATCACTGAGGTATGTTGTTCTTTAGCTCAAAGCGACTGTATACCTGTTTGGATTGATTTAACTTGTTGTACTGGTTGACAAGGTCCAATTTGCTGTGACCCAACGTCATGCGTTTCTCATCCCGCCGATGTATCCCCTTCTCCGGGCGCATCCTGTCCGATAGCATGGGTCCTGGTGGAGCAGGACCTTGCTTACTCTCTGGTTCGCTCTGAGAAAGATCTGGCCCACCAAACGGAGAGGAATGAGTAGGCATCTTCTGGAAGAAGTGGGAGTCCTTGTCCTTTGAGCTGAACAAATCAGTGAACTTACTGATGAAAGGCGTGGGAAGTCGATATTTGGAGGTGACCTTGTCGGTTGGAGTTTGTTGAGTTGGTGATGGAGGTTTTGGAGAACTGTAGAGACCTAAAGCCTGGACTTTGGATGTCTGTCCGGGAATGTTTGAGCGTAGGTAATCTGTCGTTCCTATTTTGGACCATTCCACACCAGCGGTTTGACCTAAGGAAGTGCGCTCAACCGCCTGACTTTGGAGGGTCCCATTCGGAGAACCTCTTACAATGTGGGGTCCTGAAGGCTTTTGAAGCACTGGACTCGTGACTCCCTTCCTGTCAGGAGGCTTTTGAGAGTTTTCCGGGTTCTTCTTGTCAGGTGTGACTTTAATAGATTTCATGCCTGGAGGAGCTGCTTTGATGCTGGAAACGCTGCCACTGGATTGGCTACTGGAGTGCTCCGAATACACTCGCTCCCTGCTGCCGTAGTCTGCAAGAAAATCCAAGCCCAAGTTTGGTACTGGCATGTGGTAAGAGTAACCAGGCAGCCCGTCTTCTTCTGGATTGTGGAAACGGTCTATTATTTGGGAATCTGCATACATGCAGCGGAATTCACGATCAAAGCAGTCCGTAACGCGGCCGGAGAAGTGCATTAGCATGTTGCTGTGAACCATGCCTGAAAGCCATGTAAAACTAGAGGAAAGAAGAGAGAGAGAATTTTTTTTAAAGCATAACCTCAAATATTTATTGAAAAATACTGCACTCTAAAAAAAGGCTGGGTTAAATATAACCCAGTGCTGGGTTAAAAAGGGACAAACCCAGCTATTGGATTGTTTTGACCCAGTGGTTGGGTTCAAAACAACCCAATAGCTGGGTTTGTCCCTTTTTAACCCAGCATTTTTTAGAGTGTGGACTATAAAAATGTCCCATCAATAAAAAGTGATTCATTCATGAAACATGAGCAGAATGAGTTTTTGTAAAATTGTTTATAAAACCATTCTTGCATAAATTGTTGCACAGAAATTTGTTCTTCTCGTGTTTCATAAATGAGGTTCAAAGATTCTGTCCAGCCAGTTTTATGGATAGTTCAGGTGACTTATGCTAACAAGTGTTTAACTATGTTCAAGCTAACCATCTGTTTATGGCATTACTCAAATGTCTTGCATAAAACTGAAGTAAAAGAGCATGTGATAAGCTTTACATGAGATCATCACAGTCTTTTCCGGTTTGTAGGTTAACCCTATAAAGTCTACTGTAACATATTTGATAGATGAACTTCTAAGGCCTGTAAATGAACAACAGGATCAAAACTTTGCTGATAAACCTGTTGTACACAATCTACTACATGCCTTCTCTCGTCTGATTGATAGTTCATACTTTTTAAGACCCTTTAGTATAATTCTAAACAATTCTACCTTTTTCCTGTGAAATCTAATGATTTTAATCAAGAAAAAACATAAATATATTTTATACTGTTTGGTTTACTTGATAATCCATACATCATTTTTTAGAAAAATCATGCTAAATCGTGAGTATCGATTATGATGCATCAGGCCCGTTGAAGAAAGTTTATTTGTTCATCTCTCTCAGTCATAGTATTGCATTGCATGAAATGTTTTGAAACTACAGAACATGAAATATCACTTTATTAAGACATCTTATTGAGAGATATAGAGTGAAAACTGATATTTATATGCATTTTATGAATATCTGCTATACTGTTATAAAGGTCTCATTGATTTGCATTACAAGCTATCAGAATTTTATCTGACTTTTTTGTCATATAAATATCAGTAACTGCATAAAATTGCATATTTTTGTCGAGTTTGGACCTGTGTTTTTTCCTCTTCAAGTATGTGCTCCATATCCTTCTAAAAGCCTGATGTATCAAATATGATACTCAACAAAAAATACATATAACTTTTTCCCCAGATTTTTTAAATTTTATCTAAAAGCTCATCAAACTGTTCGATTTAAAAACAAAACAAAAAACTATGCATCAATCTCAGTTAATTATTTCCTTTCTGGTGACAAAGATCTAAAAAGTCTAAATTGTTAGTATTATGTTTGCAATCAATTTCCCTTTGAACTGTATGGACTTCTAGTCAAACAAAACTCCCTGTTGTCTCTTATATATGGGCAAAGCCTTCAACACATGAGTGTGGCCTCACCCACTATCCACACACCTGTGTGCTAACACGCATGAATTTATCCACGGGCTGCTATCAGTCGCACTAACCCTGAAAAAACAAGACAACTCCTTCACAAACTAATTCCTAATCATCATAACTGAGGAGCAGATTAGCCAAGCCTTCAGACATGCAAGACTGAGATCGCTTGTTGGGTCTAAACAGGCATAACTGTTAAAAATCAACATGCTGTCTGTATAATTCATCAGTTTAACTAAATCCCCCCCGACCAAATTAGCCACTGAGGCTTGAAAGCTGACAGCCACGATGGCACTGAGGCTAATGCTCGGGCAATACTGTGCCTGAGAAACGCAGAATCATCATGTTTTCATTGCTAAGCTGCTCAAGTCTACCGATGTCTGCTGGAGCGCATGAGGTGCGCATGTCCTGTCATCTTCCTGCCACAACACTGTCATGCGCTAAAATGATTTACATAATACAGAGTGATATGACTGACATGAGATAAGTCTGGACTGATGGGTATAACTGAATTCCTCCTGTGAACAATGTGAGCTGCTTCTAGTGTAGTTGGCTTTGAAAAATCTTGCCTTGACATGCTACACAAACATATACTATTTAGCAGTTACAGCATGTCTGACAGTGTTTTGATATTACTAACTAAAACTATTAAAAACAGTGTTGTTTATTGAAATAAACTTGCATATAAATATTAGATAAACTTAAAGTAAACATAAATTGGAAATGTTGTCTTAGAAAATAACCAAAAAACATATAACATTGAAGCACTCAATGTAAAAAAAAAAAATTCTATTTTTTTTTTTTTTTTTTTACAGGTGTTTTTCTTCAGGCTTAACGGAAATGTCAGTGAAATTACTGGATAACCTCCAGGCAGATTTTTTTTTAAACAGTGTAGAATTACTTAATGGAAATAAATAAACCATTAAAACGGAACTAAATCTAAAACTGAAATTAAAATAAATTAAACCTAAATATATATATATATATAAAAACTAACTAATAAAAAAGCACACCCAAATGAAAATAAAAATTAATTAATTAAAATGAAAACTGAAAATATTACAAAAACTATAATAGCATATAAATAATTAAATAAAATACATTTTTATAAATAATTTGAACACTGTGGCATAACTTGGTCATCATTTAAACAAAATGATTCTTGAAGCATCATCATTTAAAGGATCTCATTAAATTACTAAGACTTTTGCAGTAAGACAGTAATTATGCTGTTTTGGTAAAAAATTATGATTACATAACAGGAATTTTTTCACTAAATTACACAATGCATCAACAACATGATTAACATACCTATATGATCCAGCTATGACTTCCTCGCAGTCAATGATCATGAATTTCTCTTGAACCTGACCTGTGAATTTCTTTCCACTTTTGGTGCAATATGTGTCTCCACACACACTTCTTACCCGCATATTCTGAAACAAATAAATGTTCAATAATCACTTGATTAAAAAAAAAAAAAAAAAAAAGAGAGTATATTTTGAATACAATTAGAATCTGAGTTCTGGTACACCAATAAGAGTAACAGAATAAAAAGTTGTTTTGTTTTGACAAAAACGCTTTTGAAATGTATGCTCATTCAACTTGACATTTCCTTTTGATCTGAATGACCTAATAGACTTATTTAAGGAAACTTACACAAGACTTATGTTTTGCTGTTGACTGACAGATGTATTCATATCTAAAACTGAGAACACCCTTCTTATTGAACACTTTCTTAAAACGTATTATGTGCAAGGATAAGAACTCGTGAGCTGGACCACACCACTTCTAAGAGAGCGTCAGCGTCTGACTTACACTTAAGTGTGAATTCTGGATGTCCTGTTCTGAGCACATGTTCAAAAAATAGCTGAGATTCTTCTCATCCAGTAGAATATAAACTGGAACCCGGCGCTTGTTGGAGGCCTCCATTAGGTCACAGAACAAGTCGACGTCTGTAAAAATATCCATGACTATAGCGATAACCTGTGGCATAAAGAAAAATTGTTAGGGCATGCATTCAAATAAACCACAATCTTTAAACATATATCACTAATTACTTTATTGCTTCCAGGTGACTATTTCGTGATAATAACCAAGCAATTTAGTTGCTCATAATGTCTAATGTAACAATTGTTATGCAATTTCAAATTCTTCAATAGTTATATCACCTAAATTAGTGACTGTGAAACATTTGGACATTTAAGTCACACTTATATAATGTCTGAACAGTAAAAAAACAACAACAAAAAAATCTAACTAAGTGAGTTTTTCTGAGAATAAACGTCACTTTTACAAGGCATTTTTGGCAACTTCTTAACTGCTTATTTTTAGTGGATTTATGGAGCGCATCTGAACAGCATTGTTTTAAAACAAGCTTTATTTTGTGAAAAGTCTGCTTATTGTTTTGATATTTGTATTTCAAAAACATTTACACAGGTTTATGTGTGACAATTACTTTTGGGGGGTCTGGTTATTTGTTGAGCACAATTTGCGATGCATAAGTTATAGTTGAACAAAAGCACTGAAGCTGTCCAAATGAACCGGTCTAAATGGTGTTAAAAAGGATCTTGTTTCCGTGTGACGTCACACGTCACATACAAAGCTGCCACAGAAATGCAAAGTTCGAGGAAAGCATATTTGTAAACTACAAGGAAATAGCGTTTGTCAAATAGTTTGCACATATGAGTGGGTTTCTGTTGTTCTTACCTTCTTGGCGTTACTAATAAGAGATCGAATGAGATCTTTGAGGTTTTTCGACTTGTCTCTCTGGAAGTGTATCTGCGCCTCTGTGGGTCCAAATCGGTTGGAAACCTCTGGCCAGCCCAGCTCCAACATTGGTGGCTCCTCGTCGGACATCATGGGGAAATAAGTCCCTGAAGTAAGCTCGGACACCGTGTCCCCTTCCTCCATGTCCACTCCATTAGTGCCGCTATCCGCGCCGCCAACTTTGGCCACATTCTCGGTGATATAGCGTATTTCCAGCGGGGACAGAAAGTTCACTTCTCTTTCGTCTTGCAAGACTTTTTTGTACTCCTTCTCGCCGTGCTCCAGGAGCGCGTCGGTGGCGAGCCGAGCGGTTTCATTGTGGCTGAGCTCGAGCGTTGATCCTTGTCTCCAGGGGTTCTTCACCTCCTCCAGCCTGTTGGCGAGCTTCCCGAGCATTTTACGCGCAGGGTTCGGGGTCGGACGCAAAACCTCTGAACTGATCATTTCCACGACTGATGTTTGTCCAAGTAATCTGAGTGTTACAAAAGCTCAAGCAAGCATTCGGTTATTAAAGCTGGTGTATTTCAAAGCTGACCTTGTTTTGTGTCATGGTAGTTGGAGTGCGTTATTCCCAGAGGCCTCTCCGAGTATTGTTGTGAGCTGCTGGGAAACTCAACGCTGCGCTCCACCTGCGCGCTCACCTGCCCTGAAAAACAAAAAAAAAAAAAAAAAAAAAAAAAAAAATATATATATATATATATAATATTCATTATTAATGTTTATCTATTTATGGAATATAGGGATGCACCGATACCGATACTGGTATCGGTATCGGGCCCGATACTGAGCTCCTGTACTCGTACTCGTACTCGTTAAAATGCC